GATGGAAAGTATGCGATGATATAGAAAGAGGAATGAATGCTGGGAATAGAGTAAATTGAGCGTTGCATTCCTTTATGTCTAGTCAAGAAATCTCAAACGAGGCTCCACTGGCTATACATAGGGTAGTGCTTATTCCGACGTTAAAATGCGGCAGTGAGTGTTGAGAGTGGCAGAGAAAGAAAGTAGAATAAATGCCGTGGAAATGAGAGCGTTAAGAAGTATGTGTGGTGTAACATTGCATGATAGGATAAGTAATAGTGTGATACGTGAGCAGTTTGGGTTAGAAGACAATGTAGTGTCAAGTATACGAAAGAGAATGCTTATGTGGTTCGGCCATATAGAATGGATGAATGAGAAGTGATTAACGAGTAGGATATACAAGGCTACCGTGGGTGGTGAATTTGGGTTGGGTAGGCCTTAAGGACAAGTTAAAACTACCAAGAATCCACGGTGTGTGTATGCTGAATGTCATGAATAAAGCGAGAGCTAAGGGGTACCGGGAAAAAGGCGTGTTGATATAAATAAATAAAAAAGTGTCTGATATTTTTTCCATTGCAGTCTAACAATCGGACAGAGACGCTGTCGCTTCGCACATGAAAATAACCTAACACATTTCGCGGTATATTCCTACACCTACTGCAAGATGGAGTGCCGTGCACGCCTGTGTCTCAAGTACTGCAAATGTTTACCATATTTCTACAGAGCCATCGGTAATATCCTTTATAGTACACAAAAGAAAATAATGTTGTATCATTGCAATCTATACAGTAGGGTGGAAACACCAATTCACTTTGAGCTTTTAAAATCAACAAAGTTGTAATTTTTTATGTTCTTACTGGATTTATTTTGAAGAAGTGAATTTATACTACACATTTGAATGGCTATTATTTTTTGGCAGGCGACGAAAAAATTTGCGATATTGAAGGATTGCATTGTTTAGCGAAACATAAAGGTAAGGGTAATTTATTACAAATACATTATATTTTTATATATGTATTTGTAATATATCAACGAAAATAAATCAGTGGTGCTACAACAGTTTTAGGACTGGGCCTCAAATTTCTGTATCTGTTTCATGAACATTTGTCAATCTATACGTATAAGGCAAGTAGGTGATCAGCCTCCTGTGCCTGATAATATATACGCCGTCGATTTTTTGGGTCTAAGGCAAGCCAGTTTCACGATGTTTTCCTTCACCGTTTGAGCGAATGTTAATTGCGCACAAAGAAAGAAAGTCTATTGATGCACAGCCGGGGATTGAACCTACGACCTCAGGGATGAGAGTCCCACGCTGAACCGTAGTATGTACTAAATATAAAAATGTTTTAAAATTAATACACCTAGTCCAGCCATAAGTTCTGTTACAAATGAAAATGCATTTTTTTATGAAGTAATGTTATTAATGCGAACACGATACAAAATTAATATGAAAATAATGAACATGAAAAAATATGTGCAATGGCGCCTAAAGAAAGACGTTTTTAAAATAATATACGTGTTCCAAATTCAAAATGATTAAAAAGTTTAAAAAAAAGAAAAGTTTTTATGTAACAGTATTTAGCCAGACTAGTTATAACAATACAAACTAAATACGTACGGACCTTAACTATTCTTATTATATCACAAATCTTTCTTTTATAATAAGTTAACTTTTAAAACACTGTTACAGATGCTTTGTACAAATTACGTGATAACAGAGGCCAGAAGATAAGTTGTGGCTGTTTACCGATATGTGAGGACGTGAACTACGTCATACAATCAAATGTGGGTACTTTTCATTTCATTACCCAAAGGTTGTAATCGCTAAAATTGCAAATAATAGAATAGCTGAGACTATGAAAAAAGCTTGTATAGAAAGCTGTAGTGTATTTTTTTAACTTAGTTTACATATAGTAACGATTTCAGGATATACAAGAATGGTTTTTAGGGACAAACCTGCAGTGGGGTATCGCAAGTTATCCTCGCATGAGGTATCGCAGAGATATTATTTTCGGGTTCACTGATCTTCTAGGTACAGTATTTTATTTCTTGCTCTTTTGCAATTGGTCTCTAAAATCTTGTGAGTATGTTCCATCTGAGTACGTACTTTACCTATTTTATGATTTAAGCTGGAAAATAAACTTAAAAATTAACCCTGACAATGCTGTGCTGAAGCAAAATTTGCAATTTATAACTAGTAATGGTCATTAAATAAATATTTTCAGTGGCGGTGGGTGGGATGGCTGGATTGTTTCTAGGCTGTAGTGTCCTCAGTTTCCTGGAGATTATTTACTTTTTAACTTTACGTCTGTTCTATTACACCCGCACTAATCTACGTAATTAATAATGTATAGTTTAAATTATATTTCACTTTTTACTTACTGTAAGATATAAATTAAATTATTTCTTAATTGTATATCTGATAGTTTTACATAGTCTTCAAATAAATACAATAATTTTCAGGGACTCAAAAAGTTAATTTTTAGAAGAAATTATAATATTTTTATGTATTATAATATTTAACTCAATCTCTGTGAAATGAAGCTGTTTTGTATATTTTTCTATCGTAGGGTTAGAAAAGCCTTATTTGCTTATTAACTAATACATAAATGATCAGCAAACCCTGTCCCTTACATTAAGCGGTTTACTTTAACCCAGGCTCGTTAACAAAACGTTTGACAAAGGCAAGCGTTTAATTGGTTGAAGAGGCCGAACTATATTAGCAGGTGCTCACGGGTTGAATTTACGATGCGTTAATAGAAGACAACATGTGACTATTACCCTATTGTAATTTAATTTACCTAAAGGGTCTACCCATATAGGTTTGTTTGAATAATATTCGCTCATTCCACTAGACGTTGGATCTAATTATTACTATTAATTGTAATAATTAGATATTCAATATAAAAACGGCGCCTGTTATAAAAATACGCGCAATGACGTCTTATGTAATGGTTTAAAGTTTAAACTATTAAACAAGGAAAGTGGTTGCAGATTATGAAGTTAAAACATTTCTACATTATTTTTTCATACCCGTTTAATAATATACGAAGTTTTGTATTTGAATCAAGTATATTACATAAATACTAAATAATTATAATATTATATATCATAGAGATTTTGGCAAATAGTGCGAAAACCTTTAGAAGGAAACCCGTCTCATTTAGTTATCAGTCGACAACACGACTTACGATAGGCACTTGCAAATGACTTATTGTGTTCTCACATATAGCGTGGATATTAGCGCTTTCATGTTATTTTTGCATATTTAAATAACATGAAAGAATTATGTTAATTATTATTATACCAGCCGGTATTTGCGTTGGCACCTGCTATTGTGTATAGTTATACGTTCAAGAACGAAAAAAAAATGATGTCAACTAGGATTGACATGGAAGGATAAAAACGTGCAAAAAAGAGGAATTGATCCTAATGTTTAAATTATAAGTTTATAGTTGTTTATATTAATAATACGAGGGCTTATTTCGTGTACAGCTGTAAAGTGAAGGTTTAAATCTGCTGTTTTATTTGAATAATCGCTCGCTGTGAAACCCTACATCGGACGGCAAGATCCGTTGTTCAGGCCGGGATATGGAAATGTTAAAGATTATTGTTTGGAGTTAGCGAGGTGTAATTTAATTCTAAGACGTACTCTTAACGACATCCTTAAGACTTCAATTTATTTGAAACACTTGTCGATACACTTTTAACTATATAATAGTTTCTTTTCTATTATTGATCACGCCGTTTTGCCACTCGTCACTTCTTTTCATAAGTTTGAATTTCTGAGCAGATTGTTGGCTCTATTCTTGCGGCACGCTTGCTGTGCCTACATTGCTTTATTGCATTAGTATATAGGATGTTTAAAAGTGTGATAAAAATTATTTATATTTTATACTATTGTTTCATTAACATTTGAATTTCATAATTATGTCTATTTATTAGACATATTCTCACGAACTAAGAGCACAACAATACGTACAGATCGTTTTTAAGTAGTATTTATACAACATATTATAATAACAACTTTATCGACAGCGTAGTACGTCCCTACTGAAGGTGTTTTGAACCCTATATGGTAAGATTTTAATTGCGGGTATCAAGCGGCTTTTGTGAATTGTCTATGAGTTGGGGTTTATCTTAGAAGTCAAGTAATGAGGTGAGATAGAGCTTATAATAACTGGATGAATTGCAAAATGCTATGACTCTGTAATGATTGCTACAATACAAAATTTTAAAATTCTTTTACTGCAGTCACTGGATGAAATGACCAAACATCATCAATTATTTCTCCCCTATAAAACGTTTAAAGCGAGGCCAGATAACGCGTACCTTGCACCCCATTTTCCCTCACCTCAAAGATTGCCAGATACGAAAAACATGATTTATCTCCCATTTTTTTCCCAATAAATAGTTGTCTTAGAGGTCTGAGGTCGAGCAACACTCATTTCTCGAAGGTATCCAACCTTTTTGCTGATAAAGAGATGACGAATGAAGTAGGTGTCAGTTTTATGGGCGTGTGAGTGGTGAATTTATGGCGTGATTTATTTTTTAAGATGATTTAGATTGTATTGCTTTTCTTGTCTCGATATAATAGTGTCTTTAAGCATCGGAGCATAGAGAATAGAAATTTTATCATAATATGATTCTATACTGTTTTGTTATATTAGCTACAATATCAACTACATAAGATATACATATATCTTTATGTACCAAAATCTGTATATGTAATGAAATAAAAATATATTATTATTTTTTCTTGTTTGTATAATTTGCTAAGGTGTCAGAAATAATACGATCGAATGAAGTTATTAAAATTGTGTGAGCCACCTAATATACTTTAAATATATAAAAAATAATAATGAACCGTGATTTCAACAAAAGAATAAGCATATAATTTAAAATAGCAGTGAAATTAGCGAGAAAGGTGACTGATAATGTAACAATGACGGCGGAAAATAACAAGAACGATAGACATTATATAAAATCTGAAACAGTTTCAGAACGTAATATTAAGAAAGATGAAAGTGTATGCTTTATTACTCTTTGTGGTGGTGGCGTGTGCGCTGGAGCAAGTGATAGAAGAATCACCATTGGAGAATGAATCAGGTGATTAGTCTTTTACAATATAATATATATATTATAATATGTATTCTAATATACATTTAAAGTGCCATTAAAAAGCCATCGGTGAAAACTACGTTAGACATCGGGACAGTTCTTTTTTGATGAATAATCCAGAACATTTATTAAATTTGCACCAGTAGGTCCACCTACACATGCCTATATAATAAATTTGAGGTATAAATACATTTTACCGTCGTATAACCGTAGTATGTTGGACTTACAATTACTCATTTTTATAATATATAAACGCGAATAGATGAAAGCTTTAATGAATTTGTTTGTTATTTTGATAATATAGCTCCAACAATATTCATCCTAGTACTATTATTTTTATTTGCAGTTACTAGTAGTGGCCATCGACCTCCTTTCAAGAACTGTTTGATCCATTATGAGTGTAAGCATTACAAATGGTTCTGCTATCGATCAGAACACGCCTTCTGCATCGGTGGCACGTGCAAGTGTCTGCCGAGGTACCACTTTGGCTACCGACACCGATACCGTATGTACCAAGACTAATTTTACGGGATTACATTGAAATAATCAGGTCTATAAAATGTTAAGACTTTCATTAAACACTATAGTTAAAACTAAAGACTAAATCAATTCAAATTTATTTGAAGATTAAAAGTTGGGCTGGCCGCTTTGCATTTAAATAATAAGGTTCTTTAATTAGTAACTTATAGAAATAAAGTGTAAAATTATTATCTTTTATGTGATTAATGTTTCTTTTGGTCTTAGAATATATTTGTTTTTTTTTTATTAGTATTTTATAGTATTTGAAATAAAATATTTTTACGTTTAAAAATTGTGTTTATTTTGTACAAGTCTAGAGTTTCAACTACACAATTTATATAAACTAAATGTATATAGAAAGCAAAATTTTAGTTTCCTATTAATTTTCCTATAACATTATATTTAAGCGCCTACTATTTCTTACCTATTAACGTACCAAAAATCATTTTAAAACGATGAAATAAAGGATTAAAAAATAAAACGTTCACACAACTCATATTCACATTGACACGGACGAATTGCACTTTCCGCGGTTTAACCCGGATGCCGATCAAATCAAGCGGTTATTTGTTCGAGACTATCGGAGCGTGCGAATCATCATTCGGCCGTTCGATTAAATTGCCACTCGGAAAAACTCGCCAAAGGATATTGCACCTGTTTGCGGTTTTGCTCATTTGCCTTTGCGACTTTTCAGCGGACAGGTGCGGTTCTGTTGATTCAATGTAGAATGCCGACGCTTCTGACCATACCGTATAGCTATACATTCGATTAAAAATTAAACGTGTTCATGATCCGCTGTATACAACAAAATTGCATACAAATGAGTAGAGCGGCTGTAATGACCTATTGGCAGAACGTCATTTGTCGGTCGAGTGCGGTAATTAGGTAGAAATGAACACCGATGCAATCTGTCTGATTCGATGTTGATCGCTATTATATACCACAGAGCAGCGTTTACCGCTACACAATGTCTTTAATTTATTAAATTCCCGAAAAATTAATATTATTATTAAATATAATATCACCTTATCTTCTTTGTTATTTCTTTTAAGGGTGATTTGATTTAGTTATTTGCTTATATCAAGTATGTTAACTAATATTGAATAACCTGTTTTTAATAAAAAACAATTGTCTATCTATATACTTCTTCTTCAGTTGCACTCTTCATTTCTGAAGGTCGTGTTAGTGGCATCGTACAACTTCCTCCACTCTCCCCTGTCTACGGCAAGACTCTGCGCTTGGGTAATGGTAAGACCCGTAATGGCCTTTACTTGATCGGTCGGCCTCGAGGTCTGATGCCCTCCACTCTGCCAGTTACAATGAGTTTTTCTAGGCTTTCTGGATCTATATACAAGAGAAATCAAATTTAAAATGAAAATCTATAATTTTATTCCCCGCTGAGTTCAATCTGTGGCACGAGCGAGATTATTTAATCGGCTCGCAAACAAATTGCCAGCACTTGTTACCTCTGTAGTGTGTACCACCGCCGATATACTGTTAATTTGATCCCATTTGTTAACTAACTAGTTTGTTCAACTAGCTGTTCAATACATTACTACCTCGTAATATGAGATTTTAAATGTACCAATATATTCTACCAACTATTTTGGTTGGATAGTTATGAATTTAATCTGAGTTTTGCGCGTTCAAAAACTACTTAGCTACTTGATTTGTACTTTTTTGGAATACATGAAGAATTTCTTACATTTAGCTGACTTTTCATAATCATAATTGACTTGTAATAGTTGGACTTATAAAAAAACAAATCAGTGGCGTTACAACCTCTTTAGGTCTGGGCCTCAGGTTTCTGAATCTGTTTCATGATCATTTTTTCAATCTAATAGGCAAGTAGGTGATCAGCCTCCTGTGCTTAACACACGCCGTCGACTTTTTGGGCCTAAGATATGTCGGTTTCCTCACGATGTTTTCCTTCAACGTTCGAGCGAATGTTAAATGGGCACATAGAAAGAAATTCCATTGGTGCACAGCCAGGGATCGAACCTATGACCTCAGGGATGAGAGTCGCAACCAACACTGCTCCGTTATATCTAGTTTGTCATAGAGTTTTTTTTATACCATTTGTAATCTCAGCCTAAATACTTAGTGATACATATAGAAACGTATACAATAAATATATGGAAAATAATGCAGGTAATGGCGTTTCAGTGGTGTAATTAGACTAGAAATTCTGCGCTCGAAACAATTTTAATTTGTCTGCCATGACAAAGGCGGTAAATCCTATGAAAGCAATACAGTGTCACCTAGAGGAGGGCGTAAAAAATCTAAAAGGAGGGAGCTCAGCGCCCCGCGGCTAAGGCTACACGTGAAACCACTCAGCCCGCTATTAGATCTCTCAAAACCGTCAGCGTTTAAGAGGTGATCGCTTCTAAGCTACAAACTATTCAATACTTTAATCGCATCCAAAAATCATATTAAATAATAATAATTTAGTTCTTTAAGCATCCGCTTATTAGTCCATATGATTATTAATGTGTTAGTTGCAATAGTGTCATAATATTATATTAGCTTTAAAATAAAATCAATCATAAAAATTAAATACATTACAAAAGGGTGCAGGGGGCACAGATTACCGCCACAAAACCCACATCCACTGTATTTTTTTAAAGTGAATGCACATTAAAATTGCTTACCTTCATTTTAATAAGAATAATGGGACATGTGACTTTTAGGGAAGAATACTCGATCTACCAACGATGATGATAAGTTCTAGTCAAAATATACTTTATTCAAATAAGCTCTTTATAAATAGGTTTTAAATGGTAAGTTGTTTAATTACCAATGAATCGTAGCGTAATCGTAAGCATTTCCGAACCAATTCGACTTAGGGTCCTTCAAGAAAAAAACGTACCAATTCTTAAAAGGCCTGCAACGCACTTGCGAGCCTTCTGGCAATGTGAGTGTCCATCAGTGTCGGCGGTATCACCTAACATCAGGTGAGCCCATTTGCCTTCTATTACATACAAATAAACGTGAGTTCTACTGAGAAGCGAAAAGCTCAGCAGTTACTCTATTGAAAATAAGACATATCTTATACCATGGTTAGGTATAATTTTGACTAACGGCTTATAACTGGGCCGATGGCATTATATAAATAAGACGAATAACGCCTTTTTTACTTTATATAATATAAAACGTCGATGTTCGCCATGTTATGTTTCTCGGACACACGTTTAGCGTTTTCTCGTGAGTTTTTATTACATTTTAAATGACACAAACAACCCACAGAAATAATAAATTGTTTTCTTGACATCTTTATTATATTGCTCCTAGTTATCTCTTTATTTCAAATATTTTAAAATAGCTATAAAACTAGGGTAAACGTCATTGATGCCATTAAATCTTTTAATTCGGGAATAGAAAATTGTAAGGGAACGTTGGCGGAATATATTCTACAAATTAGTTAACGGACACAAAATGGACCATATTTCCCAAAGAACAAGATACTACATGCTTATGAACTTTTATATATAAAAATTAAAAGTGCAAAATGTATACACATCATACTATGGCTGGTTATATTTAATTGATATTGCAATTTCTGGGAAGAGAATAATACACGTAGCATATAAATAACGAACATTTCACTTCTTAGTTTAGCAAATGGAAGTAAAATAGAAATAATAGTATATTGCGAGAACCTGGCCGCCCAATCATAAATTATTGTAAAATACGACTTCACTTGGCCCCCCACTATTCATCTCTGCTCTCTGCATTCTTGAGATATCTCTATAATTATACTATACACAATGATTTATTTTACAGAGAAATGTTATCAAATATTGTGATTTCTGAAGACACATTCTGATCGCTTTCAATCTAAATATGCAGTTTTCGTATATGCAAGGTTTTTCGATATTAATGAATTATATTTATTTAATTAATTTAAGGTTAAAACAAAACTTAGCCACAGGCACAAAGCTGAGACACTTAACCTTAGTGCCTGAATTGTTTATATTTTTTTGTGTTAGTGTAGACTGTAGTTGCGATATCATTTCGGTTTAAATATTGATACAAATAAAAAATAAAGTTATTCAATGATCTGTGGTCAAAACATAATGTTTTATTTTATGAGATCAAAGGACTATAAATTTTTTTGGTGATATTAATTTATTATGCGCCATTATTCAGTCTTAACGACTTCATTTGTAGATGCCGTCTCTTTGTATGTCATTAAACAATTTGTTAAACTTTATTTACTTTCGCGAGTTTTAAGATGAAATATTTTTATACTTTATTGTGTTTATTTTTAGCAACTATGAATTACCATCGATCAAATTAAATTAAGTTAAAGCATTTCACTGTATATAACGCTTGTGTAATATATAAATAACACAAGTAAAAAGCTTTTGTTTATTTAATTATTACTAAAAATAAAATGAAATTTACCAGAAAATACGAACTACTATATTACATATTAACAAACACACACAAAGCACACCAAAGTCGTTTAAATATAAGATGTATATGGTGAGAAATAACATTGTCTTTGGTTTTCGCTTCTTCAAATTTTAATGATAATTTTTCAATTATTTTCATTTAATATAATGTGATTTTTTAACATTATCTACCAAAGTCCACGTTTTCAGCAATCATTAGCTGCGAAGGACTGCCACAAACAGTTGTTACATAATTATTTGACATTGTGATTAGAATTTACTGCAATGTTGCCATATTAACGAAATGTCAAAACCTTGTCGAATCGTTGATTTATATAAATAATGTAATAAATTTGCATTTATATCGGTTAAAGATTTTTATTTAATGGTTTAAGGTCACTGGATGCTTTTACATTGATAATGAAAATATTAAGATGTTGTACAGCTAAAACTCCATTCCTGGAATAATTGTTTGGCGAATTTAAAATTCTCTGTAACATACATTAGGAAATGTCTTAATCTAGCTGTCAGATTTCCCGCCAGAACTATAAAGCGCGGCACACACGGTGGCGGCGCGGAACACCGCGCAATTAGGCGCCATTAGTA